TTTCCCTTTTTTCCCTCCCCCCTTTTCTCTTTCTTTTCCCATTTTTTCCCTTCCCCCTTTTTTCTTTTTACTTTTCCCTTTTCTTTTTCCTTTTTTTAACCTTTTTTCTTACCCCTTTTCCTTTCACCCCCCTTTTTCCTTTCCTTCCCTCACTTTTTTTCCTCTCCCCCCCTTTTTTCTTCTTTTCCCTCCCCTTTCTCCCCCCTTCCTATCCAGAATTCCACCTTGCTTCTCAATATTCACCTTCAAGAGTTCTTACTATACTTAATTAGCAGGTGGGGCAGTTCCATCTTTTTCTTTGCCATGGGGCACTTGGATTGTACAATAATCCCCATCCTTAGGTTGTACAAGGGTATAAATGATTCTCACTGCTGTGGCTGAGGGGATCTGTGGATGTTCTCCAGGGCAAGGCAGCTTTCCTGGTCACAGGAATATGTTCTTGGGAGGTTTTTTTTGCATTAATAAGGCTTATTTCATCCTTTCTGTTGTGGCACTGGCTGATTCTAAGCAGATTTGATGCACAAATTTTAGGGCACAGGCTGCACTGCCTAAAATTACAGCCCAAAAACCCATTTTCCTGCTGTAGGAGCAAATCTCAGGGTTGAAGCAAGAGTGGCTTCCAGTAGCTCAGACCTTGATTTACCTCATCTTTCAACAATGTTATGACCTGACCTGGTCTGGAGAAGCAGGGGAAGGAACCCAGATGGTTAACCATCAAATGTTTTCATTCACAACCTGTATTTCCCCTCTAGCCAACTCTCCATGAGATAAGAGACCATCTCCTTCAGTGACAGCAAGAAATGCCTCCAGTCCTGCCCCTGTTGTGCTCCTGCCCAGCCATAGTTCAGAGCAACCCCAGACAAGGGTGCTCTGTTTTTCCATGATGCCATCAGCCTGGAAGAGCTGACAGGAGTCAACATCTACACATTTCTTGCTCCTCTCCTTTTCTCCTCCCCTACACGGGGAACAGCAAAGGAGATGGAAGTGAAGGAGCTCCCACCACCTCTACACTGCTGAGAATCCCTTCATGCTGCCTCTGTGCCAAGGCAAGCTGGAGGTTTCTCCTGGTTTCTCCTGCTTCTGCCTGGTCTTATGGCTGCAGGAGGACTTGAGGCCATTAAACAGTCTTTTCCTGTGGCGTGAGGTGATGAAGGTCAGAAATGCAAGGAATGTTTTCCTAAGGCTGGCCAGTTTTATTTAGTTTGGTTCAAAATAGACCTCTGGCAAGGAGAGGAAGAAATGTCAGCAAGACACCACATGAGGGTGGACCTGGAGCTTGTGATGTGGGAACAGTTGACTGGGACACTTTTCTCTGCTGAGTTCTTTGAATGTCAGGGGTTTCATCCTGTAGATGTGTCTGCACAGCATGTTGGGTGTTCCAGCCTCTGCAATGAAGGGAGCTCCAACCTCTGCAATGAAGGGAGCTCCAGCCTCTGCAATGAAGGGAGCTCCAGCCTCTGCAATGAAGGGAGCTCCAGCCTCTGCAATGAAGGGAGCTCCAGCCTCTGCAATGAAGGGAGCTCCAGCCTCTGCAATGAAGGGAGCTCCAGCCTCTGCAATGAAGGGAGCTCCAGCCTCTGCAATGAAGGGAGCTCCAGCCTCTGCAATGAAGGGAGCTCCAGCCTCTGCAATGAAGGGAGCTCCAGCCTCTGCAATGAAGGGAGCTCCAGCCTCTGCAATGAAGGGAGCTCCAGCCTCTGCAATGAAGGGAGCTCCAGCCTCTGCAATGAAGGGAGCTCCAGCCTCTGCAATGAAGGGAGCTCCAGCCTCTGCAATGAAGGGAGCTCCAGCCTCTGCAATGAAGGGAGCTCCAGCCTCTGCAATGAAGGGAGCTCCAGCCTCTGCAATGAAGGGAGCTCCAGCCTCTGCAATGAAGGGAGCTCCAGCCTCTGCAATGAAGGGAGCTCCAGCCTCTGCAATGAAGGGAGCTCCAGCCTCTGCAATGAAGGGAGCTCCAGCCTCTGCAATGAAGGGAGCTCCAGCCTCTGCAATGAAGGGAGCTCCAGCCTCTGCAATGAAGGGAGCTCCAGCCTCTGCAATGAAGGGAGCTCCAGCCTCTGCAATGAAGGGAGCTCCAGCCTCTGCAATGAAGGGAGCTCCAGCCTCTGCAATGAAGGGAGCTCCAGCCTCTGCAATGAAGGGAGCTCCAGCCTCTGCAATGAAGGGAGCTCCAGCCTCTGCAATGAAGGGAGCTCCAGCCTCTGCAATGAAGGGAGCTCCAGCCTCTGCAATGAAGGGAGCTCCAGCCTCTGCAATGAAGGGAGCTCCAGCCTCTGCAATGAAGGGAGCTCCAACCTGCCCTTCCCTGGTAACCACACACCTGGGGGCTTTTCCTGTGGCTTTTCCTGGGGTATCCACGTGCCATGATCCTCAAGGTTTTGCACAGATGCATTTTGATGGGCTTTTCTGCCTGATATGTCTGATTTCTCCTAAAAATTGATTATCATAGCTAAGTGATTCATCCTTTCTTACCCTGTATTTTACCTCATAGCTTTTTAGCTTGCATCTTTAGAGACTGCTGGATATAATGCAGAGAAATCATTTCCATGCCCAGTAAATATTATGTACATGCAGAAACCTTCTACATTCCCCCTGCATGGAGCACCCAACTCTTGCACCTCATCAAGTGTGCCCAGGTCACTGCGGACATTATCTCAGGCAGGAGCAACCAGGATGAGTTTGAGTGGGTTTTGAGGAAACCTGTAGTGTTACTGTTGGAAAACTGCTCTGTGGACACCCTGCTGCAGTGGAGAGGATGTCCAGGAGAAGAGGACAGTTGTCTAGGAGACCCCATTGCTTCTCTTCCTGGGAATGGATGCAGTGATTCCACTGGGAAGATGGTTTTTCTTCTCTCTCTTTTCTTTTCTCTCTCATTATCTCTTTATTGTGGTTTTGGTTTGGTTTGGTTTGTCTGTTGTGGTTTTGGTTGGGTTGGGTTTTTTGGTTGTTTCCACATAGCTTTGAAGTCCACGTGTGCCATAAATTGTGGGTTCAGCTGAAAAAAACCAAACCCAACCATACAGTCTGTGCATATAAGCCTATCTCAGCTTTGTTTGTGCAGGAGAGAAAGAAAAATGGGAGGGTTTGGGGCTTGGTGATGTGAAATGTTGAGCAGCCTCATGGCCTGAGTGGTGCAGGAATGAGTTCCATCCCAGTTGCTCCATCCTGACAGGGTAGGTAAGGCCACCCAAAGGAAAGAACATACAGGATTTATTGTTAAAGTTCTACTTCAAGAACTCCAAAAGCAACAAAGTGAGAAATTATACAAACTCATTCCTGGCTTTTTGTTGTTGTTTTGTTTTTCAGCTCATTCTGTAAATCTTTCTATAGGTTTATGGAGTCCAAGCAGTCTGCAGATCTCAGTTTGAAAATCATTGCATAGAAAGAGCTATTATTGCTATGAAGACAGGCTGAGAGAGTTGGGGTGTTCAGCCTGGAGAAGAGAAGGCTCCAGGGAGACCTTAGAGCAGCTTCCAGTGCCTGAAGGGGCTTCAGGAAAGCTGGGGAGGGTCTTGGGACATGGGAAGAGAGTGATGGAATAAGAGTGAATGGCTTCAAACTGGAATAGGGTAAAGTCAGGTTGTACATTAGGAGGAAAGTCTTCACTATAAGGGTGGTGAGACCCTGGCCTAGGTTGCCCAGGGAAGCTGTGGCTGCCCCATCCCTGGCAGTGTTGAA